CAGTTGAAAATGACCTTTTTTGTATTCTTCTCTGCTTTCACTCATTTTTGAAAGGAATTTAATACTCTATAGAGTGTTGTATTCATAAAATGCTAGACTACAAGTACCAATTTACAGAGTGTAATATTATTGTGTTTTAGGGAAGTTATATATATTTTTTCACCTGTGCAATACTTTTGTCATATACTGTAGGAAGATTATACATGACAGAGGACTATAAATTAATACTAAATTCATAAGAGAACTTTATAAAGCTTTTTATATTAAAGGGAATCCCTCTACAGTATATTATCCTTAAACTGATAGTTAAACTGAGTATATTAATTAAGAGATAGAACAGTATCTCTACTTGTATATTAACTATAAGTAGTCAGACTAGGTAGAATAGATTTCTATGACTGAGTTTGTATATAACAATTAAGAACACTCTACTACAAAGTTCTCTCTGTTCTATGTTAACTCTAGAAGACACTCTGTAGGCTTTGAATCAGTTTTGACTAAGACTAGTATATATTCAGTTGAACAATAAGTTAAACATATTAAAGATGTTTAGGAACTTACAAAGAAAAGCCTGGACCAAACTGTTAAAGTTATGAAGAAGTACTATAATTATTATTCAGACTCCTCTATACAGTACAAGCTAGGAGATATAGTGTGTTTAGACTCAAGAAACATAAAGACTACTAGACCTACTAAAAAGTTTGATGACAAGTGGTTTAGTCTCTTTAAGGTTGACTCAAAAGTTGGAACTAGTGTATATAAGCTTAAACTACCTTAGGGATAGTTGATTCACCTAGTATTTAATAAGATTCTACTCAAACTATATGTTCCTCAAGTCTTTAATATTCAGAAGGCTCCTCCTCCTCCTCCCTCTAAACTTGTAGATAATGAGATTAAATACAAAGTTAAGACTATCCTTAACTCTTAACTCTACAAGGGAAAGCTTTAGTTCCTTGTCAAATGGGTAGGATACTAGGAAGCAACTTAGTAGCCTGAAAATAACCTTACTTATACTTAGGATACTGTTAGAGATTTCTACAAAGTTTATCCTAGTACTTTAAAATGACTGAACATTTTAAAAGGAACCTTTAGAGACTTTAACACTTTGCTTAAACAAAATAACCTTTAGATTCAGTTGTCCAGGACATACAACCTAAGGAGGGAGGTAATGTTAGGATTGTAGGATTGGACCTATTTCATTTTCTTCATATCTCTGTCAGTTTTGTGAAAAACCAACATTACTACTGGATTTTCATAATTCTTAACATCTTATCTATTGTTCTACAAAGTTTCATAGAGATTGTCTTAGTATTGAGTATAGGAGAGAGTTATAGAGATGTAAGGTAGTGTATACAATCATGACATAGCTAATTCATTTCTTGCCCAATATAGTAACTTGTGCCTCTTTTGTACAATAGCCTCTTAGCCTATATTCTCTGATACACAATGCTCTGTTAATTCTTCCTAACCTCTAATGTGTCTGTTAGCTTTGTAATATTTGTTCTTATTATTTCTTTGATCTTATTCTCAAGTTTTATTCCTTACTTTACTCTTGTTATTTAGTTATTATAAAAAGCAGTCTGTAGATATAGTAGTTCCTTAGTTTTTTGACTCTTCTCATATTCCTACTTGTTCTCCTAGCATAAATCCTAGCTGGTAGCTTTAGGAATATAGTTGGATTAAGGGCTGCAGGTCTACATTTGTAGTTTGAGAGTGTTATCAACCTAGAGAACACATCTCCCCTAACACTTACCTCTGAAGTACTAGTCAAGGGATGTGTCAGTATGAGTGAGCAAAAATGCAGAATAGTGAAAGCAAACACAAAGGATCATTTCATCGCCTATTTCAGACTCTGGAGGCCTGTAACTTTCAAGGTGACCAGAGTTCATCTGTGTAGAGTAGTAACAGCAAGAGGATGGGAAACAAGTTCCAGGAGTAAAGCACTGTACAGCCTGATCCACCCAACAGTAAACTTGAACTTGCTCAAGTTTATGTATGTATAGCAGACAATAGTATTGAGCCGATCAGCCTGAGATTGGACAATTTGACCACATTGATATTAGATCTTAGTTTTTAATACCTAGAACTCTGCTGTAGCATCAGAATCAAATCAATCACAAGATGGACCAATCTGTGCAGCTCACCCTGTTCTGATATGGAAAATTGATAGATTTGACTGGTGCTTGTATCGTTACCGCAATACTGAATATTTGCCGAAGATTAATATAGGATTACAACTCAGCATGTCCACACACATAGAATATGGAACCCAAAGACACTTATAATAAATTGTATACTATTTGTGCAAAAGTAAAGCGGAGATGATGAAACAAATGAAATCAATGCAAAGAAGAGAAAGAATCAGAGAGAGGATAATACAGTATAAGAAAATATTGTTACAGTGTGGTTAGACAACAGAAAAGAAGCGAGGAGATACGAAACTCTCAATGATGGTGAAGCTTATCCTTCACCTTCTCGACTATATGCTTCACGATTCCTTCTTTCTTACCGCTCCCGCTATCTTTATCGTCCCTAGCAGTTTCCTTGTTCCCCTTCCCATTCTCTTTCGCCGAAACCTTATCACCATTACCGCTCTTATCAGGCTCGCTGCCTTGTAATTGTCCTGCCCTATCCACCTCATCCGATCGTCGGCCGATGAAGCTCGACTTGAGCGCACCACCTTCGTATTTTTCTTGCAGTCCTTCGGTGCCGTGGTATCGCGTCCTTTCGAATCCCGGCGGAGGAGGAGTCTGGTCGGATACAGCTGCAGGTGCAGAAGTCGTCTTCGCAATGCCTGTACCCAAAGCTGGGGTCGCACTAGGACCTTTTCCCGAGATGTCAACCGCACGGACTGGAGTTGTAACTGCACCTTCGGAGGGAAGTGGAAAATCGCTGTCCGAACCGGACTTGGCTGGTGAGTCCTCGTTAGTGAGAGATGTTGGTCCAGGTCGCGTTGGCTTACTTCCTCCATCATACGTGGAAGTAACGTCTTTTGATGGCAGAGAAGCATCGTCGGAGGGTTTCTGCTTCTTTTCTTGTTTGGCAGAATACAGCGCGAGAGCAATGGCGGCTGCGGTACCACCTACAACTGCTGTCGTCGCAGCAGCACCTTGCTTGGATTTCGTCTTTGACTCGTCGGTGGTGGTATCGTCCTTCTGCCAACCGCGCGACTCATCTTTAGCAGGCCCCTTCACCTGCTTGTTACCAGGAACCTCCCCAGCTACAACGGCTTTGTCGTCAATAGCGCCTGGACGTCTCTGGACCGAACGATCATTAGTCGCCGCCTTCGAATCGGCCTGAGCAGCAGTTGGTTGAGGTGGAGAGTCAACCGACGACTTCCTCTTATGCTCCCTCTCAGCAGACGCAGCAGCAAGAGTGGCAGCCGCGGCTGCAGCAGCCTCATCCTTCGTTCTTGTGCTTTTTACTTTCTTGCCTTCATCGACCCCTTCTTTTTTCTCTGGCTTTTCTTCCGGCTGCACCTCGCCTCGTTTAGCATCCTCCACCTCCTTCGCGCCAACACCACCGCCGCCAACAGCCACAACCGTAGCAGCCTCCTTCTCCTGTCGCTTCATCTCCTTCTCTCTCTCTTTCTCCTCCTTCTCCACCTCCTTCTGCAACTTCTTCTCCTCCTTCTCCCTCGTTTTTGCCTCCTTCTTCATCTCCTTCTCTCGTTCCTTAGCCTCCTTCTGCGCTCTTTTCTGCGCAGCTTCAGCAGCAGCCGCTGCAGCGGCAACCTCTTTCTCCTTATCATGTCGTTCTTTCTCAGCATTCTTCTCGACTTTCTTTCTCTCTTCTTCGAGGCGCTTCGCTTCCTTTTTGGCTTCTTTGTCTGATTTCTTGTCTGCGGATGCGACGGGAGCTAAGACTGGAGGTGTATCCTTTTCTTTATACGGGTCTGTAGGTGGCGCAGACTGTTTGTCGTCAGCGAATGCAGAAGGCTCCTTCTTAGCCTCTTTTTCCGCAGGAACTGTGGCAGGTACAGCAGCACCAGCTAGGGGGGCATGCTTTTCATGTTGCGTCGCAATTTTCTTGTCATCTGCAGAAGGAGCCGGATGCGTCTGGTCTTGCAACCCTTTTAAAGCCGAGGTAGGAACGCGAGCATCAGGTTGCGCTTTGATATTCGCACCAAGGCCGCTTGTTTCGTTGGAAGTTATCTGTTCAGGAGCCCGGGCTGACGAACGAGAATATTCGTACGTTGCGCCTCCGAGTGTACCTATCCCTGCACCGAGTGCTGCAGCTTGCACAGCCTCTCTTTTCTTCGTAGAGTCCGTCGATGCGCCTGTCTCGGCGGGACGTCGTGCCTCTGCGCCTCCCCGGACAGGCTCTTTCGAGACAGGAGCGGGAGCAGGAGCGCCAGCAGGCTTAGGGAATGCAGCTACGTCGCTCGAGGTCTTCGCAGTGTCCTGAGAAGTGGGCTGCTCGACAGTACCTTCAGCCTTGTCCGCCGGCGAGGAACGTTTGTAAGCTGCACCGCCTAGAGTTCCTACACCTGCACCAACGGCAGCAGCCTCAGCCGCTCTTTTCTTCTTCGATGCATCCTTAGTCGAAGTCGACTCTACACCGGGGCGTCGACGCTCAGCAATGGCCTCAGTATCCTTTTGGTTCGTATCATCGTCATCGGAGGGAGGCGCATCAGTGATGATCGGACCGGGTGCGTAGGCCACGAACGCTGCGTAATCTTCCTGCTGTTGAGTCGTGGAAGATGTTTCACTCCTTTCCGGTGGAGGCGTAGTAACCGTTATGACGGGACCAGGCAAGTAGGATACAAAGGCGGGCTTCGCCGCCGTGGCAGACGGTTCGGATGCCCTGCGGGCTGCAATAGTAGATGCTGGAGCTTCGCGTGATTTCGATGGCAAATCTTATATGTAAATATTGCGGATTAATACAAGCCTTCTTCACGTATACATATGGAATTGACTTACTCAAATCAGTTGCAATGCCTGCAACGCCCATTTTACTAGGATCAAAGTCGCTGAACGTGCTTCTAGTCTTTCCCGAGGTCTGGGAAACATCAAATTTCTTCTCCGCCGCGGCGGAGTCCAAAGTGCCCACAGCTATAAGGCAGTAACGTTATATGCCTTTACAAAGAACAAAACGTTTGAACAACTAACCAAGGACAGAGCCGATAGCTCCGACGACTCCCTCCGGGAGGTACTGCGCGGCAGCATCTACTGCACGACGGACATCCTCGCGAGCCGCACCAAGCAATGTGTTGCTGTCCGTCTCCTCGGTGGTAGTCGTTGCTTTCTCACTAAGGCGGTCAAGTGGGACATGCGGATCACGGGGGAAGGTACCGGGTAAGCCCAGCTCGGAGGAAGAAGTCTGGGAAACAGCGGGTGGACTCGAGGCGGAAACGGCTCCTTCACGCAAGACTGGCGCAGGAGCAGAACCGAGCTCCCGAGCTGGCGTGTCATCTTTAGCTTCGAGTTGTGAACTTGGGGGAAGGACTGTCGATGCCATTGTGAATTGGATCGTTGTTGAGCTGAGACTGCTCCTGCTCTCAGAGGTGGCATGAGGGACTTATATATGAAGGGATAGGGGGAAGACCAGGGCGGAGTGAGGTCATCGACTCCATTCATCGTCTGAGACACTCCCGGTAGAGAACAGCCTAGCGTCGATTCGTTGACAGATGTTGCTCCTCGTTTCCATCTTTGGCCGTTAGATGACGGAAGCATCGTCGGTGGACAAATATGCATTAGCCAGTGCTGTATGACGTTGTTACATCTATAGTCTCACTCAGAATCTAGACCCTTATTATGTACAGGTGCAAAGTAAAGTAGAGCGTAAGAGGAAATGCGCACACGACTTGACGCGTCTCCTGCATACCAACCACACCGATCAATAATCATGTCGGACTTGCATCGTTCCGCTATGCTCAACAGAATGCCTCACCTCCCAACTGTCTCGCCCTATGCAGACGATGAGGAGGAAGGTGAAGGCAATGAAGAAGAAGAACAAGAAGAGAACGACTCTCTAGGCTCTCTGCCCTCCATCTCGTGAGCTCACTCAAATACTCTTCCGCTAGTCTCCCAAACCTAACTTTAGTATTTCCATCGGAACAAACAGTAAACCTCCTGGCACGAAAACAAGACACGTCCCCAACCCACAATTCGCACCCATCTCTGCCGCAGGCTACTTCTCCCAAGCAGCAGAAGTAGCCGTCCCCGCATCTGGTCTGTCTTTCCGCGTCTACTACACTCCACCCGCACTTGCATCAGGTGCATCTCAGAGAGATGGAACAGTGATGGTGTGTCACCATGGTGCGGGCTATTCAGGTCTTAGTTTTGCGCTGTTCGCGAAAGAGATTCAGGAGAGAACCAGGGGCGAATGTGGCGTTATGGCTCTAGACGCACGGAGACACGGTATGTGCATACAGCCACATCCAAGTTCGTGAACATCGTTCTTACATCGTCTCTTTTGACATAGGGAAGACAAAGCCTCTAGAAGATTCCAAAGATGACTCCGATCTATCAATCGAAGTCCTTGCAGAGGACGCATATAATCTATTTGCAACACTTTTTCCTAATCCAGCGGAAGCGCCTACCTTTGTCGTGCGTCCTTTAGTTCTTCCTATAAACTAAGAGGTGAAATTATTCAACCTATTTAAAAGCTTGTAGGGCATAGCCTAGGTGGTTCCGTGCTAGTTCGAGCCTCTGCACGTCTCTTCTCGGCAAAATACCGATTAACGGGTGTCGCGGTGCTTGAAGTTGTCGAGGGATTCACTCTCGATGCACTTCCACACATGCACACACTACTTGACACTCGACCAGACGGATTTGATAGCCTAGAAGAAGCTATCGAGTGGCAGTATGTATTCTCCTCAGACCTTTGTCAATATATCAAGATTGACTCATTTATTCCTACCTTTCTCAGTCTAACAAATCACACAATTCGGAACCAACTCTCCGCACGAATTAGCATTCCCTCACTCTTCGTGCCAAATGATTCTAATACTGGACCCAAGTTCGTATGGCGTACGCCACTCCGTTCAACCGCACCTTACTGGGAAAGTGAGTACCAGCGGCATTCACTTTCCCGCGCTGTTACTTTCTTTGTCGATATGATGACGGATGCGGAATGCTAATGCACGTTATTAGGCTGGTTCCGCGGATTATCGTCGTCCTTCCTCAGCGTACGCGCAGCAAGACTACTCATCCTAGCAGGAACAGAACGACTAGATAAGGAACTTATGATCGGCCAGATGCAGGGCAAGTTCCAGCTTGTCGTCGTTCCCGACACAGGACACATGATTCACGAGGTGCGTCTACTTCTTCTTTTCCTTTTGAGGTTTTCGAGTTCATTTTGCGTGGATACTAATAATGATGACTTGCGGCGGTGCATGTGTAATTTTTACTTGTAGGACAAACCGGATCGTTTGGCTGAGATACTTGTGGAATTTTGGAAACGGAATGAGAAGGTTGTGGTTGGTGTTAAGAAGGTTGGGGAGCTGTAGATAGACGGAGACTGGCAAAACCTAGTTGGAAGTCACATCTGTAGCAGTAGTGCATTGGATGAACTGGAATGTATCATGCGTATGATTTAGACACAGCCAGAGTATCCAACGAAAGTTAACGGAGTCGGGGAAGACAACCAATAGATCCGTTCTAAGTCGAAATCAAGCAACCTATAGGTTAATCACACAAACATTAGCATCTGCAAATACCGAGATAAAAAGAAAGGAAGCCGTACTTCCACAATCCAACGCCACGTTGCCTTCAAGAGCTTCCTTATAAAGCGAGAAGCCTGGCGGTTGGAGAGCAGGTTAAAGAGTCGTAGAAAGGGACAGAACTTGGTGAAACTTAGTGTCGACAGACACGTTTGTAAAAGTAGTGAGTTGGGTGAGAATAACTATACGTCGGGGGTTGATCAGACTAGAAGTAGCTGGAGATGCATTGCGTCAGGAAAAGACCAATAAGCAAGTTCTACGTCAAAATCGAGCAACCTGCGTGCGAGACGAGACATTCCATCAGCAATGTCCACAACTCCCAAAAAAAAAAAACATACCACTATTATGTTCTAATCTCCCCATTCCACATTCCACGCACCCTCCCCTCAAAGAATTAAAACCCCACCTCCACATCCCCTAGCTTCTTCACAACCTCAAACCCCTTCTGTGGTCTCCTCAACCTCCTCATCTCACTCTGACTCTTCACCTCCTCCTTATTAACATTCTCCACATGTACGAGCTCCTTCACAGCAAGGATCTTACCCGCAAACTCCGGGGAATGGGGGTGGAACACCGTTTGCATGCGTCGTGTGATACCGAGAGAGGCGAGTGTGGCCTGTTTACGCGTGCCTAGGGAGATGGCGGATCGTGTTAAGGTTATTTTATAGTAGCCCTTTTCCTTGTGGTCTTTGCTTTCGGTGGGATGGGAGGTGGAGGGAAGAGGTTCTGCGGTGGTATCCGAGGACGGGTTTGCGCTCGTGCTTGTGCCTGGTGCGTCGCTGTACTCGGAGAATTTAGATGCCGAGGATGAAGAAAAGACTCGAGATGAGGTAGCGAGTGGTCGGCGAGATGATGATGCTAGTTTTGTCAGACCAGAGACGCGGCCCGATGAAAACATGTTTCGTGTATCGTGAGTTAAATGTGAGGGAGGATAGTGCAGGTGCAGAAAGTAGAATTACAGAGTAAGGTAGGGAAAGTATAAACTCAACCAACCTCATGTAACCTTAATTGCCTTTTTTGGCCTCACACTTAGACAACGAAATACCATCTTCCACACACTACAAATTAAAAATGTAATTCCATCAAAATATTTGTATTTAAAGTAGCTACAAATTGATGGTTTTATTTTTCAAAAATATTAGAAAATGCCTGACTTATTTCCAAAAGAAGCTTTTTTTGACTCAAACACTCTAGAATGTCCTTAGCAACATTCTGGCAAGAAAATAACTTTTTTTGAGTTTTTAGGTTTTTGATTTTTGCCACCTCGGGTAACTATAATATTACAAATAATCACCTTATTTGGTATATACATAATCATTAGTCATTATTACAGCATCTATATCCACATGACTTCTGTACGCTACCAACACAACTCAGTCAATAATGCCCCGCCGAAAGAAAGTAATACAAGCTAGAACACAAAACCTGTACAGTAAAGGAGGAGCTGTAAGTTAGCTCTGAGTGATTCATGAAGAAAAAAATTAAAGAAATTACTTACAGTCCAGGAATGAGGACAATGTTGTCCTTATTGACAATATTCTGGACAACATTTTAGACAGTGATGATATTTTGGCTGACTTATAAGTGTAAATACACAATGTACTTTCTACTTGACATATTTAAAAGCTTTTACAATTTTTCTTGAGACTGAGACGAAAAATCATATCTTCACCACGATTTTTGCCGCTGGGGTCCTTCCTAATGGAGTAAGTGGCTGTGTATTCAGGGTCGTGCACGTGATACCTTGGGTTTGTCGAGTTTATACTTTCCCTACCTTAACAACAGTTAATAATTACGTAATAATACAGCGATTTTTCTTTCGGTATCGGTTGAAGGTTCATTCCAAACCAAAACAGTATATTAATATCATCTATGCCATTCCGACTGTTTAAATCACTTCAGGATGTCTCTCTACTGTGTTCACCTTGTGTGAGTTCATCATATCTTCGCATTAGTTATTTTATACTAACAAAAGTTTTGAAGGCCATGCAGCAATTTTTTCACACCATCCCGTGTAGTTGACTCCTCTATCGGATTCACAAGGCGGTGACTCTTATAAAGTTAACATCCCTGCATCCCAAATAGTATGACAGATATAAGCTACACTGTGCCAGCCCTAAATTGAGCTATTTGCAGGCGCTGTATGTGCGATCAGATTTCGAGGAGTACAGATCGTTCATCTTGCTGTGCTAAATCTTGATTACTGGCTTTACATATGAGGCCTGACGTTTCAGAAACAGTTGGATTCCTTGATCCGATCCCTTGAAAAATACATATGACAACAATCTGCAGAGACATTAGTACAACTATCAACATGATGCGAGTCAAGCGGATCGTAGCAATGTGTGATCAGATTTTGCTTCTGATACAGAGTTGCAGCCAACCACCCGATGAAATCGAACTGAAATCACAGCAGTGTTTCTGTTTCACTCAGTCTCGACAGCACCCCATTAAGGTTTTGAAGCTGCACCATCAAGTAGAGCTTGTAACACGGGGCAGTTATGGAATGTTCTATGTGCTAAATTACAAGTAACCATCTAATGACCTTGACTCCGTCCATGAGATACTCAAGATAATGCCATCAACTAGAACCTAAAGAAGGCTGTTCTATGTAATAAAACTACAGTTGGAGGCAGTGCAGCTTGTTTACCCGATCTGGTTGACTGCACGCCGTGCACGGCAATACAGAAAAAATCCCGCTGTTCACAATATATAATCACATTCACTCGTGAGCGAATGATCTGACTGCTTCTTTCACGTCCTCTCACTACAACCATCTGTATCTCGATGTCCGCCCTTCAGCTGCAAAATGAGAGTTATGTAGAGTCCGGAATGGGTGACATGATTCTTCGTGTATGCATTCGATTTTAAACGCATTGACTCTTCTGACGATGTGCCTTTTGACAGCGTTTTACAGGTGTGTACCAGACAAATTGCATGGTGTATCATAAGTGTAACATACAATTAAACGAGAGTTGCCCATAGTTGCCGCACTAACGCTTGCTGTAAGATTGCAAGAACTTTCCGTTACAACCCGGAGATAAATATCTGCCACAGGTTTATGAGTGTCTCATAACTATCGAGGGAGAGGTGTGCTTCTGAATATAGATACTGCTTCTTGATTGCTCAGAATTCCATTGTCAGGCAGAATTTATATGGCCATCCCGGTTTGCACTTCCAAAAGCACTCTATTTTGCAAATCGTTATTTGCCAATAGCCTCAACAGCCCTCATAACATATTGTAAGTAATCCCTATATCTTTTCAAGTTATTAATGTGTTCACCTCAAGGCCTGCCAGTACTTGTTTCTGACACCAACCACAACGTTAGTAGAAACCGGCAAACACTTTGAAGAACTATCTCACCAACACTTTCCTAGAATTGCAAAGTTGTTCTAGTCATTGCCACCTGTAAGTTAATTATTGGCTCGAATATTAATGCGATTACTTTAATTATGCGTGCGTCACAGTATTGGCCTGCACGTGCTATTTTTGTGCAGAAGGTGAGTTGTCTACCATTGTTCGGAAATTAGTATCTGTCATTAACAAGTATCTAGTATCGCTGGGCTTGCGTGCATATGCAGTATGGGGACTAAATCGAACAGTTCTTATCCTCCTGGTAATCATTGCAATTGTAGGTACAACTTACTACTAGTAGGACAAAGGTATTCATTCTAGATTGGCCTTGAAGAGTAGTGGAGTTGGCGGTTATTCCTTTGCAATATTATTATCTTTACCTGCCACCAGTAGGTTTCCTCTCCTCTTTCATGTCAAGCACAACTGACTTACTATGCCAGCCTCCCCTGTCCATCTGTTCCATTCTGGGTGCATTTTTTTCGAGAAAAATACATATGGTTGGAAGTTATGCCTTATTCTTGTTTCTAATGCAACAGGTGAGGAGTTTAACGCCTTTCATCAGCTTTCTCCATATCTGATACCTAGATCACACTTGATGTTCGTCTCATCACACGGGCAGTCGTTTTTGGCCTCCTGTTGGCAAGAGCTATTAAATATTGTAGGTTCATAGGTTGTTTTCCTGACAAATGCGTCCACTGAACAAACACAGATCGTGAATCAGGGTTATTCGGTGATCTTCTGAAGGAAATGCTGACTGGAGGTCTGTTATCCTTGAATTTATCGTTTTTACCTGTTACTGAGCATATACATACAGGGGCCATGTATTTCTTATGTATTATCTGTTAGTTCTACTTAAAGGCGCTTACCCTATTTCAGATGAGATTAATAAACATATAATTGCAGGTATGGGATTCACAAATATGATGCTATTACTTTATAAACGGGTACAACATACTTCCTACCTTTCTCTGTGTTGCACTGATGCTACTGTGTAATAGGGCCCTTTAAGTGAAATTCTCTTAACGTATGATTTTGTGGTGCTTGACTATAATATAGATGCTGAAGCCCATAGAATAGGCCACAAGCAGTCCTCTGTTGCGTTATAAGCAATCGTCTTCTCTTACAAATTCGGCGAGTCGACCGCAGACGAATGACTGCCGAAGTCTCGGTTCAGACCCAGGCAATAGAATTCAGGTCGAACCCAAATACAGTGGCCGCGTCAACAATCTTCTATAACGAATCGTCTCTCGTATACCAGGCAGTGACGTTGGCTCATCAGATGCAATAATACATGTCGGTCGGAATAGCTGAAATGAGTAGAAAGGATTTAGCATTGACCTTTGTTCCGGATTAAACAGCTACACCACAAGTTCATCACGAAAAAGTCGCAACACTTGTATTAGATTACAACTAGGTATATTTTATACTTTTTGTAAATTTTGTTGAAGCAATTATATTCTTCATAGGGGGTTTCACAAGTTAATTATAATTTGATACAAGTACAATGAGAATCTAGAACAATTATTGAAATTATTGATATTAATTATGATTGTACATATTGTCAAGATATATAAGTGATCATAACATACCTCCCAAAATAATAATGTTAAAATATACTTATTATTTTTTGACAGTATAGTATTATCTTACAATATATACAAGTCATTACAAGCATCTGGATAGATTGCTTCTGCTTTGCATACAATTTTGTATCAAATAATTAATAAATGTAATTATATTTAATTATTTAATACAAAAAGATAGTGAATATTATATTATTTCTACAGTCCCAATCCCTGCACCACTAGCAGCCTCTGCCTTGTTCTTCTGCAAGCAGAATTTGCATCAGTAAAGGATTAATGTGTTCTTAGGCTGTATAAAGTAGTCTTTGTCACCATGCCTTGGTTGTTGCTCAGTCCCTGCAAGTTGAATTGCAAGGTTGAGCAGGTTTTGGAGGTTGAGGCTGTGCCTGTGAAACAGGCTTAGAGTGATTTAGAAAGTGACAATAAGAAAGAAAAGATTGATACACAGTGATGGTGTGTAGCAAGTGTGAGTGGTGCATACAGGTTGAGATCCAGAGTGTTGGATGAGTTGATTCAGACTGTAGGCAAAACTGTGTCTGAGTGTGTGTACTCTACAGTTTATCCACAGTGTCTAATAGGAGGTACAGTAAACTGAGTCATTGATTGTAAGGTGTATCTCTAGGATGTTCTGGCTCAAAAGGTGAAGGTGAAGTGGAAGGCAGACAGACTTGGCTGAGTAGGGAGTAGAGGGCTACTGCTTCTGTTTGAAATGGTGTCATGCACAGTACTGGGGAAAGTAAATGCATACAGTGTGGACCCATCAAGGGTGATGCCAAGCATGGAACAGGTGGGGAAGAATGTGTGCATTGGGTTAGAGAGAGGATTGTACCTTTGGAGTAGTTGTACATGGACATTGTTGCAAGTGTGTGATTGTTGATTGTTGCTTGCACTGTAGAGTAGGAAGAAGCATGCAAATTATTAGCAAATTTGTTTAGTATTGGTCAAAAATGCAGATGTGCAAATGCAAATGCAAAAAGAAGACAAGTATAATAAAAAGGAGGACAACAAAGGAGAGGCAATGTAAGAGGCAGAAAGGGAGACAAGAAGTTGAGAGGAGAAGGATGAACAACTATTGTGCAAGTTATTATGAAGTGGACTGGCTGCTTACACTTTACACTGAAGGACTGTGTAGCCAGCTGGGTTGTGTTGTCACAGGATCTGAGGTTCAGTACAGGCAACACAGTAACAGATTAGAGAGACAAATACAGTAATGTTTATTGTCTAGGTGGTTGCAGCCAGTGTGCCTGCTAGAGGATGCTTGTAGGCAGAGGACTGAGCTGGAGAGAACAAAAGAGACAACATAGTGTTGGGGGAAATGGTTGGGGAAATGGTGGAGGTAGGAGGAAAAGGAGTGACAAGTGTAAGTGTGTCATTATATGCACTCAATCTTTAGTATTTGATTACATAATCACTTTGACATATAGTTTAAAAGTAAAACCAGATTATATTATAAGTCTAACAGAGTGATTGTTAACAATATTAATATATATAATTGCATATTATCTTACCAAAAGTACTATAATCAACTTACAAGTATAATGTATTACTTTTATAAGTATTATAATCAAACAACTACTGTTGTATATTAATTTATATACAATTTTAACATATTATAATAAAAGTTAAGTACTTGTGTCTCACATATAATATTGTAGTAATAATGCTATTAACATTACTTGCTTTAAAAAACACTTGTAGTATAATACAATTCTTGTATAATTATTACATTTATATACAATTGTTATAATTTAATTATGTGTCAAGTATAATTGTTATTTTAGATTGTAATAAATATATAACTACATTATTAAATTACATTTGCTATTATTAATTACATTTGTTGTGACTTTTTCATGATGTTAGAGGGACAAGAGTGTTAGTAACAGTATAGAGGGGACCTGAAGGCTCAGTAAGGGGACCCAGGCTACAACTATCCTACACAACAGAAATACAGAACACAAGCACCAGAACATAGTCAGAACTTGTAGAACAGGCAGAGAGAGAGAGTGAGACAAGAGTAGAGTATATAGAGTGAGCCTAAGAGTTGTCAGGAAAAAGTCTTAATTATTATATACTCTTATATGCATATATAATATGTAAAAAAACAATATTATCCATAATGACATTTATTACACCCCTCATTGGATAAGATATATAAAAGATACTATAAGGTTGTAATAAGACAGATTTATATTATGAGAATTAATAAACATTACATGTCCTTACAATGGGGATATAAGAATTATAGCTCTTAGGAAAGTCTATAATGGTATATATTGCACCCCTCTTCTGATATGGCATAATACTTCTTCTGCTATCTTATAATCCTTAAATAAGTTAATTTACAGCTTATATCTTATCTGAATGGCTTATTATACAATATATATTTTATTTAAATATTTTATTCTTTACTAACAATGCTGAACAGTACATAATATTAACACATTATAACAGAAATAAAACTATCACTACCTTAGCAAATCACAACAACCGATAGACGTACCATGGGTATTCATCTCCTTGTGCTCTTTCTTCCTCTGCTTCACGAGTTCGCCCCAGTATTTACGTTCCTCTACAAACAGTGAATGCCATTGGTATGAGATCGTTTTGGAGAGGTCAGCTCGACACAGATGTCGTGCAACCAGGTTGTCTTCTACAGGTAGTGCAGCCTCTGCTTCGTTCTTTTTCAAACAGCATTCGTGACAGAAGACAATGAATGCATTCTTGGGTCATTTGATGTGGTCTTAGTCACTAAGACTTAGTCGTCACTCGGTCCCTGCAAGTTAAATTGCGTGTGCC